TAAAACTTATAAAGTTTTTTTCACCTATCATTTCAAAAATTTGTAATATGAATTCATAATTATTTTTCATGAACTATGATGAAATAATAAAATTATTTTATTATTAAAATTGATCAAAATACTAAAAAAATAATTTTTAATAATTTTGATAATGAAGATATATAATATATGGTAATTTATTTATTAACAAGTTTTTTTGCAATTATTTCACCATCTAGCAGTCCAATTTCAATGAATTTTTATTTTATTTTATAAAACATAAATGGGGCTATAAAATAAAAAAAAGTTTATGCAAATTAGATTATCAGATAGCAAACTAATTGTATTATAATATCAATATTTGTGTAAAAATTGATGGAAATTTTGGTTCACTAATTTTAATAAGTAACTTCAATTCTAATCTTTAATTCTAATTTTTTAATTTTTTATAATCTCTAATTCTAATTTTTAATCATATTCTAATAATACAAATTCTTTATATTAAATTAATTATAAATAAGGCCACTCCAATTTAATAGTTTGTTTAATGTACCCCACCCCCTTGTTTTTGAAAAATTTTTAAAAATAAATAAACATATGTTATATCACGTAACTTATAATAATATTACCAATCTGTATAATATTTAAAAGAATTTCTTTCCAGTGCATTTGAATCTACCAAAGAAAATATTCCTAGTGGTATAATTAATGAAAGTAATATACGTAAATTTATTAATTGCATTATTTGTAATAAACTAAGATGTATTTTTATTAAAAATGCATTAAGTAATAAAGAAAAAACTATGTTTATTTTTAAATATTTACTTAATTTGATCCCTTCCCCTCCTCAATTTTATATAAAGTTAGAACGTTAAACAAACTATTAAATTGGAGTGGTCTAATGATTTAAAATTGAATTTAAAATAAAATTATAATTAATTACAGTCAAAACTTGATATAGCAAACCCTTGATATAGTGAATTTTTCAAACAACTATAATAAATTTCCCTTCCTATAACGAATTAACCAATCAAATCTCTTAAATCTTTACTATAACCTTATAGCGAAGTTGAAGTTTGAACCCTAGGGTTCATTATATTAAATAAGAGTTGACTGTATATTTAATAATAAATAATAAAGAGAATAAATATACAGTTAACTTTTGTTATAACGAACCCTAGGGTCCAGACCTCAACTTCACTATAAGACTATAGTGAAGATTTTAAGAGATTTGATTGGTTAATTCGTTATAGTAAGGGGAAATTTATTATAGTTATCTGAAAAATTCACTATATCAAGGGTTCGCTATATCAAGGTTTGACTGTATATGTAATTTCTATTACATTATAATATGAGTAATAAAATATATTTTTGCCTCTTTTGCAAATTTACTTAAGATGACAAAGGTTGTTTTGAATGTCATTTTTAATTTACTTGATAAAAACCATTTTTTTGTTTAGTGATTGGCAAAGAAATTTCCTTTTTTGAAAATTGCATAACCTTGTGTAACTCAATTTCAATTTTTGCCGGAGCAAAATTTTGGATTTGTGTAATATCACATGATATGAATTGACCAATAAAAATGCGTCATTTCAAGATGTTATGTAAACAGGGTGCTCATAAAAAAGCGATTAAATCACGTGAATATGATCGCTTAATGCCTACCAGAATTATTGTGATCACATGTTTCCCAGAAAATATACAAGTACCTTTACTAAAAAAAAAAGAAAAATGGACGGACTCCCGGACTCTTTTTTTATTTATTTATTTATTATTATATTGACCAAACCAGTTTATTTATCATTGAGGAAAATTCCGTTCGGCAAAAACCATTTCTCGAAGTAACATTCTATTTATTTTAATACAATGAAATAAATGAGAATAAAAAACATTCGGGCCGGAATATTGAAGTGAAAATTCTTTTTGTTTGTTTTTTTTATCCCCAACGGACCCAATTCGGAGTTATAAAATAAGAATAAAATTTATAAAGCGGGAATATGATAAATTGAATTAGCCGTTGTTATCGATAACTCAACTCCGGTTGTATAACATTTATTAAAAAAAGATGTTTTAAAAATGAACAATAGAAAATTTATTATAAAGTAGTACAAGAGATTGTAAAATTTCCGATTCGGAAATCAAACTGATAACTCTGATAAGTGATAATAATAACAAAAAAAAAAAAAAAAAAAATTTTTTTTTGGAAACTAAATAAACTAAATGAAAAAACCAAATGAGTATTCGTTATTGTACAAATGAAAAAAGTAAAATAATAATAGTATACGTAATTTCCAATAATAATAAAAATAATAAAAATAATAATAACAATAAATAATAATAATAAAATAATAAATTGAAACTAAAATAAAAGATAACCAAAAATGGTAAAATTGAAATAAAAATGGATTTCGATCGTTGAGTCATATGTTATTTTTTATGTTACAAATTGTCGCAATATTACATAAAAAATATGTTTGTGACATAAACAAGAAATTTTATATATCTAATCCAACCGCCCAAATAATAAATAATACGTTTCAATTTCTAAAAAGGTCTCACAAAAAATTATTTAATTATTTTAATANTGATAAGTGATAATAATAACAAAAAAAAAAAAAAAAAAAATTTTTTTTTATTTTCTGCGCTTATTTCAAAAGTTTCACCTATTGTTTTTTAAATGTTTGAGATTTTGATAACAAAGAAAAAAACGTGAGAAAAAAAAAATTCCTAAACACATAAACTATATTTGAGGGGGAAAAGGAGGGGAAAGAAAATAAATTTTACCATGTTTAGGAATTAAATGTTATAACCGAGGTTCGGATATTTAATTTCATTATGTATGTGAGGTATTTTTCTTTTTAATCCTAATTTTGAAAAATAAACAAGGATTTTTTTAATTATTCTTTTTTTATTAAGATGAAAGCGCCAAATTGTAAAAAATAAGTTTTAAAAATATTATTAAAATGAAAAACAAATGTGATACCATTTTGTTAAGAATTCTTTCTTCTTAGTAGCCCAGGCCCTGCCCAGCAGCCTTTAGAAAAAGTGGAAAATTCAATCGGATAATTCTAAAGATAGTGAAAATTATTATGCAACATAATTTTGGCAATAATGACACTAACTGGTTTCTTACTAAAGTAAAAAGGCTAAGGATATTGCGGCCGGTAATATTAAGTATAATTATATATTAATGACGGAACGGTAGAAATTTCTTAGGCGCTTTCCTAATTCTTTTGAAATGTTCTAATGCAGGATTTGATGATAATTGGGTAAGATATATTTAATAATTGATTAAATGTGGCAAAGCATTTCTCAAATTAGAAATAGTAATCATCATTATGATAAATCAAACCGTGTGATATTTGAATACAAAAATCATAAAAATCATAAGGAATCAAAAGTAAGAGAAATTATGCGAGTCTCGGATCCATCCGAACCAAAACATCTTCTTGTTTAGTGATAAAAAGAAATTTGCCGTTGTTATGAACCGTTGTATTGTGGCTCCGTTCCGTCACAAAACTCCTTTTCACATTTTTAATCCTGAAATAAATTGGGGAACAATAAATTTTACCCAAAAAAGCTTAACAAACAGCATAACACATGTTTCTAATAGAGTTCTAATATTGATAATACATTATAATACATTAAAATCCATTATCATCCCTCTATTTATGGAAATTTATTATAAAAAAATTAAAATAAATTTACACAAATTAATGATTCTTTTTTTAATAGTTCATCTTAAAAAAAAAAAAAAAAAAAAAAAATCATATCAAGTCTTATGTACATAATTTTGCATACCCGTCTTCTTCATTCCTTTTCCCTATGGTATTCATGTAAATTATATTACTCTTTATTTATTATTATTTTTTCATTTGTTTCCAATAAGAATTTAATAAGTCACAAAATTATGACAAAGGATGAGAGTTAAATTTATTAAAATAAATAATAATAATAAAAATAATAAAAATTAAATTAGTTTGTGAACCATTATTTAAATGTTGTGCTGCGGCCGATATGCCAAGTGATTATTGAAAACTACGGCAAAAAGCGGCCATTTAAAATAATCAAATTAATTTATTGAATTATGCCAATGAAATAATAAAATTATAATCTATTTCCATAATAGGTTCATATGATTATAAAATAAAGTGATTTAACTCGATTTAATGTATTCATTTCCTTATATGATGATTTCCCTGTATGAAAGGAGTTTTGTATAATAGAAACAAAAGGAGAAAGTAGGTGACTTTGCTTTTGTCTCTCATTACCGATTTTGTTACATAAATATATTAAACTATTTTAAACTATTTATACTATTATACTGTATATTAAATATATTTATTTATAAATAATCTATCATCATAATATGTATCACAGTATATCTTTTTACAATTGAACTGACTAAAATAAATACTTTTAGGTTCTCCTGATTTCCGGTCTTAGCAACAAAAAAAAAATATCAATTTCATTTTTTTCATTTTTAATATAAAGGCCCTCCTTGGTTTTTTATCTCAATTGCTTTAAAAAGTTTTTTTTTTTTTTTTTTTTTTTATTTGGTTTTTTTATATAAAGATAAACTTTATATAATTATTTAAGACAATTATATATATATATAATCTTTATAATTGTAAATTCTATATAAAACCCCGCTTCTTTTTCAAATCGCGATAAAAAACATCTTTTGAAAACTACGCGATTCTCTTTTTAATCAAATTCTTTATAAATAATTACTTTTTTCAAGTAATTCTTTACTCATTCACGATATTATAACTTATAAATCTTATTGATATACTTTTTTGTATTGTATAGTATTAATTTACTTTACAATCTTTTGGTGATATCAATATCCTTTTTTTTTTTTCTTTAAAAAAAAAAATTTTTACAATTTTGTCACGAATAACTTTTTTTGTGAAAAGAAAATTCACTGCCTTGATATTACTTCGTTTCTTTTTTTTTTAACTCTTATTATACTTTTTTTTTAAAAAAAAACTTTTTATAATAAAGAAACTTAGTTAATCATGGCAAGTGCTTCTTTAAAAAATTTGGTTAGCGGTCCTATTACTCCTCAAATGATTGGTAAATTTTCAATTTTTTTTTTTTTTATTATTTCTTAAACGCTCAGAAAGAATTTTGTTCCTAAAAAATTTCTTTTTCTCTTTTATCCTTTTAGCATATATTGCTAAAAAGGCTGCGTCAGTCATTCCTTGCGATCCTCCACCAACACAACTTAATATGTCAACAACACATTCTCAAAACATCGGTGACGACGATCAACAACCTTTACCTCTTTTACACAATTTCATACAACGTTTGGTAACAAAATCAAACGTATCGACTGCAACTTTTCTTACAACAATTGTTTATTTGGATCGTTTACGAACAAAATTACCAAAACTTGCGAGAGGTATGTTTCATTATAATTTACTATTGTCAATTAATTTCATTAAACACGGCCTTTTGTAATTACGAATCAAATTTCAAAGAATATATTGATCTTATCATGTGTTGGTCATGTGATGGTGGCGGTCCTTATTTTAATACTAAATAAGTAAAAAAAAGCCCATTTGATCGACACACATGGAGTTTTTTAATTGGTGGTCACGGATAATGTTAAAATTTTTAGATCATGAAACACGACATCGGCCGAATTTTATTTNAAAAAAAAAAAAAAAAAAAAATTTCCCATATCAACAATGATTAAATTAGAGTTGGTTAAGGCTCATTGTTTCAATGAGTTTGTATTATGGTATTATGCTATAGTTATATGAGATTTATATATATAAGAGTGACAGTATTGCATATTATTTTTCCTTCTGTGGAATTGTGCAGTTCCGTGTTATTGATACTTTTCCAAATCTGTGTTTAATGAAATTTTGACAACCTGGTTTATTACTGGTTATTATGGCTATTTCCCAGAATTTAACTAACCTTTTTTTCTTTCTTTGAATTTATAGGAATGCACTGTACGCGTCATAGAGTTTTCCTTGCTACTTTAATAGTCGCATCGTAAGTTTCGGCATTTCTTCTTATAATTTGAACCGTCTATTTATTATTTGTTTATTGTGTAACATGCCATAATTTTTTTTTTTTTTTACGTCGTTACATTTATTTATGGCATGTTATTGCATCGAATGATATTTCCATTTTCCTACTTTTTCATAAGAAAAAATTTTTTAACCATATCCTATTTTTATCTTATCTAGAAAATATCTAAACGATTCATCACCAAGAAACAAATATTGGGCAAAATTCTCTGGCGTTTACTCTGTTGCCAAAGTTAATCTAATGGAAAGACAATTACTTTCTTTATTAGACTACGATCTTAGAGTTCAAGAGTCAGATCTATTATTTCATCTTAAAGTATTTTTACAACCTAACAATAATAATTCGATGATGGATACTTTAAAACTTCCAACTCCTCAACACATTCATCATCTCACTTATTCAAATCCACATATTCCAACAACACATCATAAAAATCAAACCCCTCCTCAAAGACAAAATTCTTATCCTCTACAACAAGATTCACAGACTTCAATTACTTCCTCACTTTCAATTTATAATACAGGACTTAATTCCATGTCAATACCCGCAATAATTTCATCATCATCATCATCAAACAAAAATACTCCATCATATGGATCTACACCTTCATACGCATCTTATATTGACGATTATTGTCAAGATGATGATATGGATACTGATGAAGAAAGAGATGATGGAACTACAATTACAATGGATGAAATACTTGAACAATTTATTCCACCTGAACCTAAAAGAGATCAATTTGGAAGAAGGCTTTCTTCGACTTCAAGTTGTTCTTCAGGATCATCATCATCTTCAATAGCTACTCCCATATCAGCGCAGGCGTATCAACATCAACATCAACATCATCAACAACAACAACAACATCAACAACAACAACATCAACAACAACAACAACAACAACAACAACAACAACAACAACAACAACGACAACAACAACAACTGCAATATCAACAATATTATCAACAACAATATTACCTTCAACAATCTTATTTATCTCAACAACAATTAAACTTTCAACCTTCATTAAAATCAAACACTTTAAAAGACGCTGGCGTCAATCAATTTGTTCCACCATACTGCGGTTATAATAATCATCAGATGGTATTGCCTCCTCCCATTCCTTCATCTACTATAATACAAGGGATGATATATACATCTACACCACAAAGATATTAGCTTCATTCTCTCTTTCATTTTAAATTTGACAGAAATCAAAATTTTCTTTTCCTTTTTTTTGAATAATTGCATGGTTTCCATTTATGGAAACGTTAAATCAAAAAGACAATTTAAACTGTTTATATTTTTTTAAAAAAAATCAAAAGTATGTATATTATTTTTATCTAGTACCTTCAAATCATTGAGAAAAAAAAAAAAAATAAATTTATATTTATAATTTTGGGAATATAATTGTGGGAATTGATTTTAATAGACTTTTTTGTACGTTATTAGATTTCATTCTTTTATTTTTTTTTATTCATATTTATCTTTATTTGGAGCTACATGTAGTATTTAAATATTTATATGCGAATCAACGCGAAAATGATCAAATTATACATTCAGTTCTATTTCTATTAATACATTGTAGATTCCTATTTTTTATTTTCTTGTTAAATAATTTTTTTCATTCTTTTATTTTTCTTTTTTGTGTATATATATATATTATTTTTTTTAGATTTGTTTTTTCATTCTCTCCTTTTTTCATTGATTTTTTGGTACTATATTGTTTAAAAAAAGTAAATTAATTCAAAATTGATATCTTAAATAAAACAAGCACGATTACCTTTCGTAATCTAATTTGAATCTTATAATTATTTCTAACATTGTTATATTTAATGTTTGATTTATTGGTATGCTTATCTTAGTTATCTATTTGTCTTAAATTTATGACTACAATATGTTATAATTATTAATTCATTTTAATTAGTGTTTTATTTATAACGAATTGAAATTGTTTATAAGGTACACAACATAGCGAGCTGATTGGTAATTATTATCGAAGAATTTTCGAAAATTTATTATTATTTAATATTAAAAAATTAAAAAATATTAAAAATATTATTACCGTATGCATCATTAATTTAAGTAGAGACAAGTTTGATTACAAAAGAATTTGCGTTACAAGTTCTCACGCATTAAACTAAATAAATAAATAATTCTGCAGTATTTATTTACTTTAACAACAATGAATTATGACTAGGTAAGAAATCTCGTTAATTAATTAATGGTTTAACAAATATAATAATAAATTCTAAGGTTTTATTGGTTTAATAATTTATATGATAGAATTGCGGTGATACTGGGGTGAATAGGCCTCTTAGTATATTTGATTTTTATTAATACTATGTTTAAATAGGTAGCAATATTTATACAAAAAATTTGCTGAGAAAAAGATTATACTAACAGGAGAGAATATAACAAATCAAAGGGTCCTTAAACATATCTCTTTAATAATAAATTACAAAAAACATTAACCCACTTTTAATATTCAAATATAAAAATAGATTTTGTCACTTGAAACTCTCTCTATTTTATGAAGATCCAAGTTGAATCCATTTGCTAATATAAGTCTGTCTTGTTCCAATTTGCGTAACTTGAGCAAGTAGATATTTTCATCAACAAACTATTAAGTCTTGCGATCGAAATATTGATGGCACCGGCGCATTGATAGCATTTTCGGGACAGCCCTATGAATTTCAACACATTGAAATTTTATCTTCATAATTATGGAGTAAGACTATCCAAAACCTATAATGTCGACGATAGAATGCAAAGAGGATCTTCTATCTATTACTGGACATTGGCAGCATATGCAATATTTAGCAGTTCTCCTGCTGATATACTTTCAATCCCAAAAAAGCTGTTGAATACGCCTATGACAAATCATATGCATATCCAGTTGGCAGTGGTAAACTGACAGATTGAGAAGGATTAATATTAGTCAATGTAAAATAAAGTATTTCAATAGGCTGTTGCGGCCAATCCATACATTCAATTATTGGGTGAATTGAACACATAGTGTTCTCTCTAGATAAATTTGGCTTTAAAATTCAAATCTACAACTGACTATAGCGCTATATTTTATCCATCTTCGATTTCTCCAGTAACACTCCGTGAGCGTTTATAACTTTTAGAAAAATTTTTTTGGTAACAAATATTTCACCTTCCCTCCTGCAATATTTTCTTATAAACTCCACTTTTGTAACCAACACTGTGTTAATGATTCTCTCTGACTGAGTTAAGGTAAATCGAAGTCTGATCTTATAATGATATTGATGTCGATGCATCATACGTTTTGCTTTAGGAGTGGTGTGTAGAGAGACTCGAATATATGGCAAATGATGGAAGTTAAAATAAATTAACATACTATTACGCAAGCCATCAGATTCTGTTAATGTCACCTTTATCAGGACGTCCGTTAAAATTAGTTTTTCATGATCTATAATCCGAGATATAAAATTGCGACTTAAGCACGGTTATTTTGATTTTGGACAAAATCTGAATTTAGGTGTTTTTCCTCTGAATACGACTATAACCTAAACTTTGATTAAATCACAACTAAAATTGTGGCGATATCATTAGAAACATTTCGAAAATTGCACGAACCTTGTGTTTGAAATGATGCACAAATATCTGACATGTCATAATACGTCATGATGTTCATGCCGAATTGATTTAACTACCGGCACTCGGATATTTCTTTGGTACTTGTGTATGATTCTGAATTTCTTTACGTCAAATTCCTAATCAAGAATGATAACATCACCATGATTATTGGGAATTCTACCATTCAAGGTTAGTTTCATTGCTATATAACCCTTTAACTTTTTCCTAAAAGAAATCAACAGTTTCGCTTTGATAGTTTTTTTACATCATTTATCAATATCTGTTTCCATTTTATCTTATTAAGTTGTTTCACGATTATGATAATTATGAATTGATCGAAAAGGTAGTTTGGACCATGATTTAATGTCATATTGTAATATATAGACCTCTTACCGATTTTACAACGTCTATTGATTCGTCGTTACTAATCTATGGATTCTTATATTCTTGATAAATGATCGGGGCACTCATGATATGGTTGGCTTTATTGAAAATTCCACAAGTATTCAATGACGAAGATATTTCGAATAACTTTTGGTCGCATTTATATAAAGTTTCCATTCACGCCTTCACTTATTCATGGCGAGGTAACGCCTGAAGACACTTTAGCCTAGCAATTAAGATCTCGACAATAAGAATTGTCAAATAACATTAAAAGCCAGAAACTTCATATGAACCAAAATGTGACGCACACTCTAAACTATTATGTTGTCGTACAGATTGTCGTGTGATCTGCAACATAACATCAAATACGCATAAAAAAATTCCCTATCATGTGACTTTTAGCCGGAATTATGGCATTTGGAATTAAGAGTGGCGAAGTATGTGACAGTCAGACAGGATTTCACACATCGAAAAAATTGTCCCTAGAATAGTAAAGATAGAGCGGAGGGGTGACATGTTAAAGTTTCTATTCTAAGCTTAAGCCACCAAGTGTCTTTGATTATTCAGCTTTATGGAGAATTATGTGATTGCTATAACTGAGGATCTACAATAAAATGGTAGTACGTCATTAATTACATAGCGAGGAATTAAATATTATATCCTATCATTAGATTTATTACACTAATGTCAATTATTAGCTTAATTAAACTTAATACCGAAATTCTTTAGGAGCAATTTATTTCGTTCGTTTAAACTAAGCTTGGAAACAAAATTTGTGGACGTTACTATTCCTTGCGTGGATCACAGACTATCTAAAGTCGGGGAATCGGGACATCATTTTACCAACATAATAATATTAATAATCAATGTTAAAATACAAATATAAAAAGAAGGAATCTACACTCTCATTTCTGTTTCTTTAAACCTAGTTTCTCTTTTTCTTTCAAAATTAATCGGAATTTCATATTCTTCATTATATAATCTCTGCAATTTGCAAGAATTCTCGTAAAGTTTTTTTTACGAATTTTTGAGTAAAGAATGACATTTAATGGAAAACCCATCCTCATAAATGGTGCTACAGGTACGTTATATTTGCGCTATTTACGTTTAATTTTTCAGTAAAAGTGAATTAAATATATTTACTGGTATCTATTAATTAGGAAACGTTGGATCTTCCACGGTTAAGGAATTCCTGGAACAAGGTATTTTTCTGTCACATATTGCCATCAGATACCGTTAATTGATTATGTCTAACGGAGGAAGCTAATAATAAGCCATTAAATTTTAGGGGCGCAACATCTCGCTTCAAAGCATCATTAGACAAATTAAATGGCAAGGTTGCAAGAAAATTCAGTTCCCACCAAAAAATTAATTCTAATTGCGGTCGACATTTCAAATGATCAAGAACTTAGTAAAGTTATGAATCAAATTCGTGAAAAACTCTGCCTGAAATTGACCACGTAATTTCTAGTTCTGGAAGTTTGATCATTTGTATGAGAACAATGGAATGCAAATGTCACTCCTCATTTTGGCAAGTTTATTTATTATAAATAAAAATTAGAAATATTTTCTTTTTTTTAAAAAATTATCATAACTAATTAATATTATAAAAAATATTTGTTATATTTAGGAATTTTATCCCATTCTTTTTGAATAAACCTGGATCTAGTTACACTTTAGTTACCGGAGCTAGTGACCTCGTCGACGAAATTGGTCCTGAAAAAATACCATCGGATATTACGGGAATCTCTCAGACTACTTTATACGGTATCAGTAAAGTTGCTCGATATGAAACAAAAAATCATGCGGTTAAATTTAATGAGCTTTTAATTGATTATCTTATTGAAGACGATGATACTTATAGAAAACTTGTTTCTCAGGAAAAAGTTCTGATAAACTTCTTCGAAATTTGGTTCAATTTTTCCTAAAATAGCTAAAAAGTAACCTTAAAGGTGAAGTTATTAAATTCTTCAACAACTGAAAAAGAGTAATTCATTAAAAAATATGCTTAGTTTAATGTAAATATTTTACAATTACATGTACTATGCATATATATTGTCGTTCACTTTTTACGCTTTTATCTTCTTAAATTGATAATAAAGACGTACAAATATTATTTATATTGATATATTCTTGATACCCGTATATAAAGTATATTGCGATTGGTTGATTAATTAACTCAATTTGTCCAAATAATTCTATTAATAATATAGTATTTAAAACGTAGTGGGATCGTTGATATTAATAATACATACAAGTTTAGAACAGAATTCATTAATGGTGTCAATCCGATAATATTTGTTCCACAGTTCCACTTTTTACAGGTACGATAAAAGAACTATATCAAGGGGGCATTATGAACTTAAAGGTAATTCGTCTACTAAGAGATTTCTTGGCAATTTGCTACGACCAATGGACAAACAGCCAAGCAACTGGAATCTTAATAAAATTAGTTAAATTATTATTACGGAATTTTATATTTAGAAAGAAAATCTTTAGCCTAGTTTGATCGATAAATATATTTTAATCTTTTTTCCAAATTAAAGTAAATGTAGGTGTGGCAAAAATTTGCAATGAATTACTAATTGATCATATTTGATTGATTTTCTTTTCTTGAAAATGCCTATCGCTATCAATTAATGTTATACAGTAGAAATTTAACAAAAGAATGGCAAGATTAAAAATAATTTAACTGCGTCTATAACCTACAATATCAAATAATAGCGTCCTTACCTTCAGAAAAGTCTTGATTGTCACTGAAGTGATCCCAGTTTTACCTCTATTTGTTATTTCGAATTTTAATTATCAATTATACACATGGCATGAATTGCATTTTTTGATTGATATTCAATAACTGCTTTATTTTCGTCTTTTTATAATACTTAGTGATTTGTTTTTATTGAATGTTTACACAAGTTTTTAGAAGACATCATGACGAAGTTATTTTGAATAATTTTTGGTCGAATTTATATAAAGTTTTCCATTCACACCTTTAACCTCTGAAAAAATTTTAGCCTAGCAATTAAGATTTTGATCATAAACATTTGTCAAATAACATTATATTAAAGACTGGAAACTTCTTATAAATGATAAATGTTTCGATCGAAATGTGGTATGTGACGGGTGACAAATAGGGTTTCACCCGAAAAATTGTCTTCGGAAATAAGCGGAGGGGTGTGACGGCTGTGACGTGATTTACGATTATATGATCACGTGGAAGTGAATGCAGGGTCTAGAATTTATTGAAAATTTTCGATGTTGAAAGAATATTACGAATAAATAGCGACAAAAATGAAATTGCGGGAGAAATACATACTAAATTTCTTTTCTAAGAACTATCTATTCAGGAGTCAGGAGTCAGAAATCAGGAGTCAGGACTAAGACACAAAGTGTACCTTTGATTATTCAGCTTTATGGAGAATTAATTATAAATATGATTTTTAATGTTAATAATAACTGCAAAAAAGAGGAGGATCTGCAGTTAAATGTTTATATATTATTAGAAATACAAGTTTCCAAAATTATTTATTACACTTATGTTATCATTAATTTGTCAGCTTAATATAATATTACCGAAGAAATTCATTTTATTTAAACTAAGTTTGGAGAACAAAAGATTTGTGGACGTTACTATTCCTTGATTGAGAAACGTAGATCACAGATTATCTGAATCGATCATAATTTTACCAACTGAACTTTTATTAATAATATTAATAATCAACGTTAAAATACAAATATAAAAAAAAATTTGTTGTAAAAGATTCTAATCTGCGCAATTTGCAAGGATTCTTGTAAAGTTTTTTTTTTACGAATGTTTGAGTAAAGAATGGCATTTAATGGAAAAACCATCCTCATAACTGGTGCTACAGGTACGTTATATTTGCGCTATTACGTTTAATTTCTCAGTAAAGATGAATTGTCTGTATTTATATTAATTAGGAAACGTTGGATCTTCCGCGGTTAAGGAATTCCTGGAACAAGGTATTTTTCTGTCACATATTGCGTATTTCAGATACTGTTAATTGATTATGTCTAGCGGAAGAAGTTAATAATGGGCCATTAAATTTTAGGGGCAAGTGTTATTGCAACATCTCGCTCCAAAGCATCATTAGATAAATTAACGGCAAGGTTGCAAGAAAATTCAGTTCCCACCAAAAAATTAATTCCAATTACAGTCGATATTTCAAATGATCAAGAACTTGGTAAAGTTGCGAATCAAATTCGTGAAAAGACGCTGCCTGAAATCGACCACGTAATTTCCAGTTCTGGACCTTGGTGGAAGTTTGATCATTTGTATGATGTTACGTTTGAACAATGGAATGAAGTTATGAATGCTAACGTTACCCCCCATTTTGGCAAGTTTATTAAAATAAAATTAGAAATATTTTCTTTTTTGTTTATTAATTTCTATTGTTATAAAAAAATTAGTTACGTATAGGAATTTTATTCCACTACTTTTGAATAAACCTGGATCTAGCTACACTTTAATTACGGGAGCTAGTGGCCTCGTCGACGAAATTGGTCCTGAAAAAATACCATCGGGTATTACGGGAATCTCTCAGACTGTTTTATACGGTATCAGTAGAGTTGCTCGATATGAAACAAGAAATAATGCGGTTAGATTTAATGAGCTTTTAATTAGTTATCGTATTGAAGATGATGATACTTATAAAAAACTTGTTTCTGAGGGAAAAAGTTCTGATAAACTTACTTCTTCTTCGAAATTTGGTTCAATTTTTCCTAAGATAGCTAAAAGTAACCTTAAAAGTGAAGTTATTAATATTTCTTCAACAACCGAAAAAGAGGAATTCGAAAAAAAATATGCTTAGTTTAACATACAATATTTTACAATTACAATATACTATGCATATATTGTACGTATATATTGTTCACTCTTTTAGTTTCTTAAATTAAAATAATAAAGCAAATATCATTTATATTGATATATATTCTTGATACCTATATATAAAGTATATTACGATTGGTTTATCAAATATGATCGATTAACTCAATTTATCCAATTCTATTAATAATACAATATTTAAACATTGGTATTAATAATATATAAAAGTTTTGGCCAAGCCTGGCCAAACAGCCAAGTATCAACATGCAACTGGAATCTTAATAAAATTATTATTGGAAATCTTGATTACGGAATTTATATTTTAGCAAGAAAATATCTAGTTCTAGTTGATCAATAAATGTAATCTTTGGTCCAAAATTAGAGTGAATGTAGGCGAATTAATTGATCATCATACTTGATCGTAATTAAACTTTTGTTGTCCAAATGTAAATCAATTGATGTTATGCAGTAGAAATTATTGAACCAATAAAACGAATGAGTCAAACCATCTTTGTAAATTGAAATAATTTAACCCTATGATATCAAATAATAGTCTAATGTGGTACCTTACCTTTGAGAAAAACTTTTGATTGTCATATCACAGTTTACATTCAATTTGTTATCTGTTATTTCAAATTTTTTGATTATCAAGTATCCACATGACATAAATTGCATTTTTTTGATTGATATTCAATAACTGCTGACAATGATTGGTTTTATTGAATGCTCTATAATTTTTACACAAGTATTCAGAAGAAAATATCGAATTAAAGTTAAAGTTTCAACAAACATAATTTCATTATTTCATATAAAGTTTTCAACCATGGCGAGGTAGCGCCTGAGGGCACTTTAGTCGAGCATTAAATAAAAATATGGAAATACTTTCGGAGAGAAATCAGATTGTCGTGATCTGCCGTTTTTTATCATGCGTTAGCGTGGAACCTCTAAAGATGAGAAATTGATCCCGCAATTTCTTGTTCTAGAAGTTTGATCATTTGTATGATGTACTTGAACAATAGAATAATGTCAGTGTTACCCCTCATTTTTGGTAAGTTTGTTTTTAAAATATTTTCTTTTTGTTAATTAATCAATTTAAAAAAAAATAGTTATGTAGAGGAATTTTATCCACTCCTTTTGAATAAACCGGATCTAGCTACACTTTAGTTACAGGAGCTAGAATACCATCAGGTATCACAGATTACTTTAAACGGTTTCAGTAATATGGAATATGAAATAATTTAATGAGCATTTAATAATCGCAAAAACTTTGTTCCTGAGAGTTTACTACCATTTCAAAATTTGCCAAGTTGGTTCCATTTTCCTGAAGTAACCTAAAGGCGAAATTATTAAAATTAGTTCAACATCTGATAAAGAAGAATTCGAAAAAATATGCTTAATTTAATGAAATATTTACAATTACAATTTGTAGAGTTGTGATATTATATAACACAAAATTGATAACAAATGTTATATAATGACACGTTATATAATGTTGTTATATAACACGACGTTACGTAACGGTTTATGTGTTATACAACTGTTATATGCCCATCTCTATCAAATATATATATACTGTACCGTATATATATATATGTACGTACATATTACTATCGTTCGCTTTTATTGTGATTTTTATATTGATTATATTGATAATATTGACAATAAAATATACTGCTGATATTTACTTGTATGTAAAAGTATAAACATACATATATATATTATATTATATCGATTGGTTAACTCGATTTATCCAAATTCTAATAACATTTAAAAACGAAATTAATTACTATCATACTAATAATATGTAACCAGTTTTAGAACAGATACATTAAATGAGTTGATAACTAATCTATTATAAGAAATTATATTAAGGGGTATTGTGAACTTGAAAGAACAAGATGTTAGCATTTAACTACGGCCAAGAGATTTCTTGGCAATTTCAACATTTCGTCAAAATATTAATGGTAATCTTGACCACGGAAAATTTTTATTCCTAGTTGATCAATTTGTTTTATACGGAGATGTACCACCCCAAAAATCTTAGTTCCAAGAATTAAAGTTAATGTAGGCTTCGGATGATAACCCATTTATATACTACTAGATCAGTAAATAACTAATACTTATTGTGGCGTAGTATCAAAGCGTGATGGAATAAAATTTGTACGTAGGCGCGGCAAAATTTATTTGCGGTGGATTAATTAAAGGATTACAACTCAAACCTCGATGCACTGATACCTTATGTACCAAAAATTGCATGTACCGATAAATTTTCCATATCCCATTTCACAATTAATAAAAAAAATTCTCATTGTACCGATGTTATATGTAATCTCTCAATGTATCATATACTGATACTTTTCTTCTGTCTCTTTATAATAATGTATAAGTAACATGTACCGATATTTTGTTATAGTAAATTTAAAAAATTTTGCGCCATCTTAATTCCGGTCAGTTTTGGCTTAGCACAAACTATAATCTGGGCCACATTATGGTCTATTGATTATCGCTAACGCCTTCATTATTCTCTAAGTTTATCCGAAGTTGGTCATAACGAACGATTAACTGTAACGAAAAAAATGATGATGCCTACATTACAAGTGTCATCATTAAAACATAATGAATATGTTGGTTAGTAGTAGTTTTATGACGGCTTATTTAGATATATACAAGAATCAGTAAAATATAATAATGTCTTCCCATATGTTTCTTGTCAACGAAATTACTACCCTAGATATGACGTTATTTGTCAGAATAAATATCGTCAAAATATTAAATATCAATCCCATCATGTTAGTTAATAAATATTATATAGTCTTATTTCGAAAATATTTTCAAGAATTACTAGTTTTTGTACTGTATCAATATAATCATGGAAAAATATGGTGTTATCTCGAAATCCCCTTGGGAATTCCTTCCAGAAATTCTGACTATAATTTACATCATGTGGAAGTTCTGTGTTTATTCTGTTATGTTAAAATTTTTACATTAAAATACAATACTAAAGGAATAGCACTATGTAATAATAGAGTCTAACATAATATGTTTTGCATAGTAAACCACAAATGACCCAATTTTATTTGACTCAGCAATGTGATACAGAATTTCTTTTATTCTTACAACTAGTAATATGTATCTATGGTAACAACCACCTACTTTGCAAAGAAGAAATTTAAATACTAAATAAGAAAAGTAAGCAATTTAGATAAAATATAAATGTGGTATAAAATAAGGTTAGTATTATTTTATAGGTATTTTTTTATAATCTTATGTTGCTTTTTACTAAATTCATTTGCTTCTTCCTTAGCAATTCTATCTTACCAAATTTTCCCTTTTTTCTTCAAATATTGGTTTTGTTATTTTTATTTTGGTATTACAAAATAAAATACAAATAATTTGACCTATATTATCCTGTTCCACTTTGATATTTTCAATGTCAGATTTCACAAATATACTTATGGACAAAATATAATTAATGAAATAAATAGAATTAACACTATCTATATCAACTGAAACTATTTTGTCATTACAAGTATATATAAGATATAAGGATATTATAAATGGCATATTATAATAATATAACTAGAGGTCCAAATCAATTAAATTTATTGTTAATTGATTATTTGGTCAATCTGATTATATAGAATCATTTAGATGATCTGATTAATTGACAATTTAAATATTCTGGATTTTGTAAAGTTTTTCTTTTTTTTTTAATAAACTAACTTAGGTTAAAGAGGTAAATATTTTGAAAGAGGTCTTAAAAAAAGTTTTTTTTATATATTTTTTGACATTTTTTCTTATGTAAAAATGGGTTTTAATCGATTTAATTAGTACTATATCACATAACTAATGATTAGCAAATTCTGCAAATCGGTGGATATATAAGCTCAAAAATAAATATAAATTACAGAAGTATTAGGTTTAAAAAATAAGAAACAATGTTGGCTATTATATTTGATAATTATTTATTACTTTTTTTAATAAATAAAATTGTTTTTTTAATTATTATTATTCTTTTATAATAGAAAACTATGAGAGAAAATCTTTATAAAAAGAATGTTAATTTTAACTTCAGTTATAGATTTTAAAAATACATGATAATTTTACAAATCATTTATGCTGTAAATAGATTCTTTGCTAAGAAAATAACCTTCTGAAAAATTTTTTAACTAATTTTAAAGTTAATCTCATTATTGTGTTCTACTTATTCTAAAAAATGGAAAACAATAAAACTTTTAATTTTTATTGAAAAGTTTATAAAAAGACATTTTCTTAATAAAGAATTTATTAATGTTAAATTTTAATTTTTTTTTTTTTTAAAAAAAGTATATAAAAATTAACTTTATTATTATATTGCAATTTGCAGTTTAAAAAAAAAGTGCCAGATTTTTCTGTAACTTACTAGAAATTAGGCTATTCGATTTTCATATATTTGCCGAATATATGATCTTTTTTGTTTTTTAGCTGCAGCTTTTTCCTTTTTCTTCTCAATCTTAGCTATAAAAGAGATGCTAATCAAAACAGATGCAGGTTAGGTGGTACTGGTGGTCAGTTTATTTCCATTATTTCATGTTTTTTTATTTATAATAGATTATTATTTGAAAAAAAAAGAAAGTTGATTTAAAAAATAAATCAAAAGAGCTTCTTTTTCATATGACCTTTAAAATCATATAATTAATCTTTAGAACCATATAATAATATAAATAAACAAGAATATAATTAGAAAAATCAGAAACTTCACCCTTTGACCTTTAGAACCACTAATAATAAAAATAGGTAAGATCAAAATAACATAATAATAATCTAGAAAATCAGAATAATATTTAAAGAAAAAGAAGTAGAAAATCTAAATCAAGATAATTAACTAATATTCGAAAAAAAAACTCAAATTATTAATAATAATAAATCATATTGTATTAGATACAATTAACTATTAATTTTTAACAAAAAATATAATTAATAACAAAAAGGAAAATTCACTTTTTAAGTTTTTTTAGAATTATAATATCATATTAGATATAATTAACTATTAATTTTTAACAAAAAAATATAATTAATAACAAAAAGAAAAATTTACTTTAAGTTTTAATTACATAATTGTGATTTTTAATGCTAATCAGATTTATTATTTTATGATATCTAAAAATAGCTTAGTATAAATATATATTGTCACTTATATCTAAAAATAACTAAATACAGATAATAAATTTATTTATATTTATCATTTATTATTTGTTTTTCATTTCTTTCTCATTTTTTCACAATACTTATTCTTTATTTTTTCAACCTTAAACTTTTCTCTTCTAGGACTTTATTACTTTAATAAAATACTTTTACTTTTCTTAAATATGATACATATTTTTATCTAAATATATATGTAATTATGTATTTCTACATAATTAAATAAAGCTGTAAACAAGTATAACAATATTTATTTATTAATTTTTTTGAGAAAGAATTTTTTACAGTAGAATAGTTTATTAAACAGGTATTACGCTAAAATATATCCTCATGTTTTATATTATTTTCAATTTTAGTGTAATTGGGATCAACTATAAATATATTTGTTAGGCAAAAAATATCTTTTGACCCTATCTATACAACTTACTTTCTTAACTTACATAATATAATAGAATGGCTGATAGAAAAGAAGCAGATGTGAAGAAATATATATTATACAACATAATGCTTCTTATTTGCAAATATCTTAATAAACTGAAATAGGTGATTTTTCAAAAAGTTGAAAAGATAATAATATGAGAAGGGCCAAGAATGTAATTTTTGCGTCTATTAATAACAAGTATTTTAAAGAATAATAAAGGTTAAATTATTCAATAGATATCTATCAATCTTTAATATATATATATATATATATTGTAGATAAGATTTATAAAGTTATTTTTATTTTATAATATTACTAATTATATCTTTTTACTTCATATAAATAGTATATCTTTTTGTATAATATTTTTTTGATAAATTTTGCCTCTTATTATTATATAGTAAATATCAAAATAAGTTTTTTTAATAATTGTATAATTGTAATTTTTTTTTTATATTTTAAAATTTATTTATTTCATTTCATATAGAATCAAATATATATACAAACTGTTATTAAAATATAATTAAACCATATTTTTAATGTTATATTTACTGTATATATATATTAAAAATGTTATTAAATACTTATTAAAATGTAGATGATTTATTATTAAATTATTATTAAAATATATTTTTAACATCATATTTATATATTAAAAAGGCCATTAAAATGTAAAATATTATTTTATCTTAATTAAAATAACCTTAATACAACTAAAAATGTATGTTATTTCTAATTAAATCATATTATAAATACATTATTAAATCTATAATAAATGAGGATCTTTTTAAGGGATCTTTAAGAATCCCAAATTTACCATTAAGGAATCCTTAAGGATATTTATCATTATATATTTTTTTATTTATTAATAGATTTATTAGTTAATTTATTTATTATAAGATTTTTGGAATTCCTAGGGTTCCATGTCCCAAAAAATTTACTGATGTATGAATATAGATTAGAATTTTCTTGTTTTTTTTTCATTTACACCTTTATTTAATTCCAGAGTGTAAGATGTATATTCTCCTCCAAAAACAATTTTATAAATGGATCTAAGTAATAAACATTTGTCCAAAACCAAAACCTTATGCTTATTTTTGGTTTCTTTTTGTTTTGATGATACCAGAAGCTTGTCTTTACTAAGAGAAAAGAAAATAAAATTTATTATTATTCTAACAGATAATTCCTATGTTTTTTTGATAATTTTCTGTAAGCTTACATGTAGTTAAATATGCGATAAGCTTTTTTTTCCAATTCACCATCATTGTTTAGTTACAAAGTTATAATTCAATCCAATGAAAAGTTGTTTGTTGCTTTATAGAAGGTGATTAAGAGTGAATCCGTTAAAATAGGTTGTATAATTTTATGTGGATTCGAATTAAGAACTTGACACCATTCAGAGTAGGGATCTAAAATATAATGGAGAAATTAATTCAGTACATATTCACAACAGATATTTTTTGGAATACTTTCAACAATTCGAATGTGTTATTCCACATTAATTTGTTTCTCTCCGCCTAACACTTGCTATCAATTGTCTTTGATACTCCTTAAATTTTTATATATTTAAGGGTATAACTAAAAAAAGTAAAATGATATGCTACTAACAAGAATTTATCTGTAATTTTCTCCATGCCTACTTCCCACTAAAACGCAAAAATAATATAACTTAAATACAATAAATGGAATCTAAAGTTCAGTTACTACCATATACCTCATTTAATGAACTGAATATTATTTGCTGTTCTAATTCTTCTAGATCATCATGTTTGATTTCTATTATTTCGTTGGAATCACTATCATTGGGAATATTATTTTCCTGATAACATTGTCATTGCAAGAGCGAAAATATTCAGCAAGGTAATCCAAGGTTATCTCGGTATAAATCCTTAATAAGATAATTACACTAGATTCGCCCATTTCGTCACTTGAACATTCTCAAGTTGTAGTCTCATAATCGGGAGTATCAACATTTGCTAAATTCAACTAGATCACAACGCATATGATATGCCAGTACGGAAATTCGACTTACGAGCCTAATTATTATATAGTCAATACCAAAATACCTCCGTATGACTACTAATTTCTACTTCAACATCATGTTCATCGAATATTGCGATTCATTTTGATTTATTAGTGGAAGAATCGAACCTTTGGCGGTTTTAATCTGTTATCAACATCAGTATCCACGTGAAATCCTTATTATCTGTAAATAGTAAAGATTCGTGTGGATCCTTCCCACCTCAGCGAATCAAAAAATTTTACTAAGCCGCATAATTTTTATCTAATATTTATTTTGCTTTATATAATTTATCAACTTATTATTCAATTAGAAAAAAATATTTTATTAAATTAAACGTCCTAATCTAACATATTTTATCACAAAATGTTAAGAATAAATTTGTAAATAGTAAAAAAACTTCGATATTCAAAATATTCAACCATGCCATGATGTAATTCACTATCCTATTCAAATCCATAATCTAAATCTTAAAACGAAATATTTTAATAAACGAAACAGTTCTATTTTTCAATTACCAATTCTGCCAAAAAAAGGACAGTGGAACTTTACTTAAATTTCCTTATGTAATTAAAATTATGAGAAGGAGGCTTGTTAAAGTTCAAAAATTCAAACATCCTCCAGTTTTAGTTGCGAAATTCCTAAAAAAAAAAAAAAAAAAATGTAAGTACAAATAATACAAAAAAAATTAGTTAATAAAAAACAAAAACAAGAATTACGAAGAACAAAACAAACTTACCATAAGCTGTCACCAATAAAGCAGATAATGAAAAAAATCTAAAAAAATGAAAATTTGAAACGTTAAAAAACGTTTCATTAAAATAAATGATTCAAAGAAAAATGATTCAAAGAAAACCTTCACCTACCAAATCTAAAGAAATCTGAATAATAAACCATCTAAAAAGAAAAAATCGAAACGTTAGTAAACGTTTCGTTACAGTAAAATAAAAAAAAACAAAGAACTCACCGAATTCCAACACGTTCTTGTCTAATGAAAAGAAAAAAATTGAAAGCAAGTTAGCAAACAGTTCAATTTTAGCTAGTTTACAAATTGCAAGACAGATAAATACCTTAGTATATAATAATGTATACTGGTTGGTCAAACTCAGCAAAGGATAACCCCAAATTATAATACGTTGTGAAATAACTTGTAAACGCGTTGTTTGATAACAAATTAATCTGAAGATTGATCAATTTCTGACCTTTTAGTTGTCTTCTCCTTTACCAGTATTTTCATAACTTGAAGATTTCAGCGAGCATTGTTCGCCCAAATTTCTTGGCAAAATATACGTACCATACACGGACTTGCTAAGTGATTCCTCCAACACTGCGATGCGGTCAAGTAATTCCTGTTCACGGTTCGAAGTGGCGGTCGAAGCAGGCGGTTCAACTAAGACATGAATGTGTTCCCCGGCTGGTGTAGTACTTCGAAATCTTTTTTGTTGCTAACAGCTCTGCATTGTTCTCGAGTGTGAGAGTGCTCAAGAGATCGTCGCAATCGTCATGAATTTCCACCTTCCATAGCTTGAGTTCGTCGGCAGCAATATCATTAAAACGTGGTGCCTTTTTCACATTTATAGCCTCCTTGAGGTCGCCAACAAGACTATTTCCATTCTATGTAGACAGGGAAAGCGTTCGCGAGTGTATTTAGGCAGAGTAACGTGATAGACATTATCGGATTTTATACTGTTTTTTTGCGAAATGTTATTGGCTAAACAGCTGTATACGACTAATACGAGGATAAGTGTGAAAAATTTTAAAAGTGGAAAAAGTAACCTATTGCACAATGCACAGATCTGCCGTGTGATCATTTTGTGGCACGAGAATGCATACAGCGGTTTAACAAACTTCTTCCGAGCTGTTGATCATTGCTCCGGAGGCCGGTCTATAGGAAAATCAATGACGTTTACTGCGCACAAATTTACATCCTCGTTACTTCCTCGTTTCACTCTCGTAACATAAATCACTACATGATTATTGCCGTTTATGATCTAGTTTAGAACGTTAGGGCTTGGCAATCAAAAATTAGTGTGTTCCTTATACATGTAATCAAAACATATGTACGAGTGCGGGATTTATGTATATATATATATATATGGCTGTTATAAATTATCGTTTCTGATCACTGTATCATAACGAAAAATGAATCCGTCTAATTTATAGTATAAGATTGATAAAGCTGCTATAAATTGTTAAATCGCTAAAACCGCTATAAGCTGCTTAAATCGCTGTAAGCAATCATAGAAATGATTAGAACTGGTAATTTCGATTCTGTACGGAAAAATATGAAAAAATTAGGAAGATCTCACATTACAATGTTTGAATCAAAGGTTTGAAAGAATTTTTGGAGGAATCTTTGCAACGATCATCCAACGGGCTTATAGAAGTTACGGGAAGAGAACTGCATTATTAGCAAAAGTGTTTGGGATGCAGCCAGATATGATGCCATCCGCGGAGGTAAAAGGATTGTTTTAATTCGTTGGGGTAGACAGTGCATATGAGTCAGCAAGACGCAAGAAAAAGGATTATTTGATCGATTAGTTAATTTAACAACAAAAATGAATGATTGAACCAATTAGTATAAACGCAATTTTGTTCATGTAACAAATGGCAAAGCTTAATAAATAAATTAAATTACTGTCAACAGATTCTTCGGTAATTATATCATCATCATCAGCATCCATCTCTTCCCACTCTTCGGAATGATAACCTGAGTCTTTTAATATCTTTACTAAATCTCCTTCAAAGTATCATCGAATATATCTGTTATCACTTTGTATTAAATAATCTGTTGCTTTTGTTCTTCTAATAATGTAATGGTAAAATATAATATAGTTAGCTGAATTTTTCATAAAATGTTTATTTACATTCTGTAATTTACATTCTGTATTCTAGTGTTTTTTCTTAGCTCTTCTCATCCTGTTTTGTTTTTTACTCTCTTTCATTTTGATATTGTGTATATGATGACACGAACGCCAACGTCCATATAATCGATTAAAATTTTTTTTTAATTTAAAAAGAATTTGAATTATAATAAATAATAAACAAATGCGCTATAAAACTACAAAATAGAAATCAAAAACAATAAACAGATCGATACTACATTGACACATTGAATTAAAATATAGAAAATGCAAATATTTAAAACGGAAATTTCTACAAGAACAAAGATCTTGATTACTACTAATAAAACAGAGGGTTTATTCTATTAAAACTTTTTATTTAAATATATTTCTATGTAAAGGAAATAAATTACTTTAATTAATTTATATTTAATTCTAATTTTTTTTTTAAAGTTTAGCTTTGTTCTTATTTCTAAATAAAACTTCGCTATTAGGATTAACATCCAAAGTTATCCCATTTAAGGGCTCTTTAGAAGCCCAATCGATCATCGTCTCGTATACTTTTCCATCATATCTTCCAAGAGCTGATTGTAGGACAAATTCTGGTATGTTAAACGCATCAACCAAACTCACAGCATTTGGTCTTATTTCTTGTAATAAATCGTATACTTGAGTCCTAAGCAACTTAGCTTCAGAGTCTGTTATAAACCTACATTCAAAGAATTCGCCTATTTCTTTTTCCATAGTATGTAATACAAATAAATTACATACTGATTCCATAACTTTTTTCAATGCTGGACTACTATGTAATATACGCAACTTTTCATCTGTAATTGGTTGTGGTTGCTCTTGAATTGCTGTTATAAAGTTTTTTACTAAAAGATATTGACAATGAGCTCGAGAGATTCTATTTACTTCGATCAACATCGAATTCCATGATTTATTTTGATTATCGATTTGATCTACTGCATTTGCAATTAGGTATGCCGCACGATGGCCAAATGCCCTTAACTGTAGTTCATTATTTTTAAAATCCAATGAAGTTGTTGCGTTACAAACTTGATTTGGATTATTAATATAATCAAGAATGTAAGTTAACGTTGGGTTCTTTTTTGATTGAGAGGCATATATTTCGGGATTTTTATTTGACACCACTTCTCGGAAGGTTTTTAGAAGCTAAATAAGAAAAAAAATTGTTAAAAGAAAGTTGAAAAAACGAGAAAGCTTTAAATTTTTACTTACATAACGAGTAGTTTGGTGTGTTAAAATATAGTTATCTCCTTCCCAAGTTATATTTGGCAAATAATTTTGATAAAATGTAACAAACCCGCCAAAATTTGAATAGCCATGGCCGCCACATGCCCTTCTACATTCTTCAATTGAATCTACTGCCATCGTGGTAGTTAAGGATTTTAATCCTGAACTTGATGCGTGTAAATCTGCTAACAGGGAGAAATCACCTGAGGAACTCTGTTTAAGATATTTCATATATAGGTCAATCATTGCTTTTGCTGTGTAAAAACACGCATAAGCTTGAGCGATTACTGGGAATAATCGATACTGTTGCATTGTGTAATCAAGCACTGACGTTTCTACTATACGTCTAAATTATTTAGAAATGCATATTAGTAAAAACGAAAAAAAAACTAAATTAAAATTATATACATTTCTAACTCACCCGTCTTTCGATTTTTTTGGTTGATCTTTATCAACAAATTGTCTTCTTACAGCCGAATAACGAATTGCGATCGTTGCAGCGCGTGCAAGTGAAGTTCGAACACTTGTGACAATCATGGCACGAATGAATACCATTGTACCGTAAGATAATTTATCATTCGGCGGGCTTATATATTCGCCTGTACCTTTTTTTATTTGAGAGAATTTAGAAAGCATATTAAAGCGTGGAATTCTCACGTGGTCAAAGAGCATAAATCCGTTATCAGTAGCATTATAGCCAAATTTAGGACCGATGTCACCGACTGTTATCCCAGGTAAAGGTTGGTGCGTTTCTAAATCTCTTATTTGAATGATAAATGGGTGGGGACCATAGTCCTTTCCATTGCTCTTTAATTGTGCCATAACGATTGCGTGGTTGCTGCGTACATCAAAAAGGTTAGTATCCAAAGATCACGTGATATGATTACGTCAATGTCAAATTAAACCTACGCTGTTCTTCCTAAACCTCCAATCCACCATTTTGATGCGGTCAAATATGGCGAATTTATTTCGAATTCATCTGTTTCCGGAATATATGTTGCAGTTGTTTCGAGCCCTTGAACGTTAGACCCATGTCCCAACTCCGTTTGGGCGTAACACCCAATTATTTCATATTTAAGTGCTGGGATTAGGAATTTTTTTTTTTGTTCTTCGGTTCCCTGACCAAATATTGTAGGGATAAACATTCCCCTGTGAAGGCCATACTGTGAATGTAATAAGAAATTGATAATCAATTAAACAATAAAGGAATAAAATCTTTTTATTAGTACTTACGGGACCTGGTAAATCTATAAACGATACTGCTGCTTGAATTTCTTCCATATTCCATTTGTGCTCTCTAAAAAAAAAATCAATTTTAAATAATAATGAAATATAAAATTTAAAAAATAAAGGATTACATACTTAATTAATTGTACGAGTCTTTTGTCTTTTCTCAAAGCATTTTCAAATAATTCTGTTCTTCCCATAAAATATAAATTCGATTTGTCAAATACTGGATCATTCTCTAATATTTTTAAGATTCTATTATCTTTTTCCAATTCCTTTGATCCATATAATGCGAGTGTAAGCTCTTTAACATTAAATGTAGCCTTTTCTCTTTCTAAAGCTAGTAAATCCGACCCTTGGGGATCGGATGGTACAAGATGAGAGGGGATTTTTATATATGACATTAAAAAAAAAAATTTTTTTATATTTTTTATTGAAAAAAAAGAAAAAGAAAGAAAAGAATTTGTTTTCTATATATGTAATTTTTTATATGTAACATTCGGAATTCGTACATCCACAAATAAGTACGATTAATAATGAATTTGGTCGATCCCTTGTCTATCAGTAATAAAAATTACTCATGTCAATTTTCTTTTGGCTAATAAATATAAAAGATTCACGTGTGAAGAAAATAAATTACTAAAATAAAATCATGCTATATTAGAGTTTTTTTTTAAAGCATAGATTAGGTTTATGGCTTTCAAAAATAGCCTGGCAAATGACCGAATCGGCGACTCGGCGACTTTCGGCTTGATTCATGTAATCTAAATGATAAACTAAATTTATTTTTTTTCCGCCGAAATGGGCGGAATTGCATCATGTGCCATGTTTATGCAAATCTAATTAAAATGATAGTGTTTGGTTAATAAAATACTTAACATAAATAATACATTCAATCGGGATTATCCAAGTATAAATTAAGATCATTAGAAATTCTTCTAAAGCACATAATAAACACATTTTATTACTTTAAAGGTTTCAACGAATGTTTGATTTATAAATATTATAAATTCATTGTCAATGATACTAAATTTTTTATTATATTTAGTGCAAAAATCAATTTTTACTAAATTATGAATTATGATGAGTGTTTATCATAGAAAACATTTGTGCCAATTTAAAGATCTAGATCGTTGCACTTAACTGCACTATAGATGTCTAGTAAGCAATTTTAATACCACACGATAATATTTTAATGAGAAAGTTTAAACATGACTCCAATTGATTTTATCATCAGGGAGATGTCATTTTTTAAATCTTTCATACTCCTTTCTTCTCAATATTACAAGGACTATGGCATTATTTTATTTTCTCTATTTAAAATGAGGCTTATTTTTTTAAATAAGTTTCTCTAATCTCGTGAATGCACGAGAAAATTGATTACAATAAATATTAGCATGTAAGATTTTTGAATCTCGTATTGTTCAGATATTCAGACGTTATATTTGATCCGAGTTATGTTATAATTTTAAATTAACTAAAAATATTTTCTATAATTTATTAATTTATTATAACATTAATAATAAGCTCGAGTTATTTACTATTGCAAAATTATTTTTTGTACTATGACTTTGACTATCTCTTTTCTTCGATTGAAAGATTTGTATATATGAAAAATTGAGAGAGGCATACAGTAATCATTATATTACATATACTGGATACTAAAATGCAATCAATTTCGTTAAAATATAAAAAATGCATTATAAAGAGTGAGTTTCATGTTTTTACTGATGAAAAATTGTAAATAAATTGTTCTTAAACAATCTTCTGATCGTAAGAAAAGTAGGATCTAGTATTCATTAATTGTGTTTTTGTCATACAGATTAAGTTGTAATCTTCATGTTAAACTTGTATCAAATTTTGATAACGAAAATACATCTGTTTTGAACCCGCGTATTCTTTCCAGCGGTAATTCCAGATACATTTGTGTGTTTTCTTCCAATGTGTGTGTTCTAACGAGATGATTAAATTTTTTTTTTTTACGATAATTATTATAATTATGGTTGCGAGAATCATCTGTTTAACTGTTCATCTATTTGTTAACAAAAGTATAAGGACAATGGTGTTATGCAATTGATCATACCTTTTTGACAACATCTGTTCCTATAGACATCAAAATATTTTCGAATAATATTAATAATAAAGGAGAACAAGCCTAACATGTATAAACTGATAACTCAAGCCAATCGGATGATGACCATAAGTATAAAATATATAGAATATTAATTTCTCGAACCCATAAAGACCATAGATGTAAGCACAAAATTAAAATTCTCTAATTCTTTAACTCCATCACCGGTTTATTAGAATATATATGAAAAGTATAACATGAATACATATACGGTCTCTAAGCGGCAACTCATAAAAGTGAAGGATAGAACAGTCTTTGCAAATGTGACAAAGTTATATATATATATATCTAACATTATATTAATTTGGCAATTCACTGAGATTACTTGTTACATTGATGAATCTTCGGATTCAATGTAATTCGAGTAACCTGTAATTTGAAATATTATCAAAAAAAAGTTTTGTGATTTTTCTTCTAACATTATAAATAAAATTTTAATATTGTTTATAGCACATTACAAAGTAATCTTTTTTTATGTAGCGGACTCTAGCATCTTTTTTTTTCTTTTTTTTTTGAAACTCGGCTTAAATATAAAATATTGAGCCCCTTAATCACATGATCATACTTGTACCGCGGCAATAGTTTTCTTGTGCCACAGCAACGCAACTATACTCGATGGAATATCTTAAGCTTAAGATAATACGATATAATATTTATAATATCCTTTTATATAAACTACCGTAAAGAACAAATTCGGTAATCTTTAAAGATAGTAATGCTTAATCCGTTATCAGCACGTCTTAATAAACGAAACATCGCTTGACAATTATTCTTTTACAATTATGGTCACTACCTTCCCAAGTGTAGACTCGCATGCTAAAATGTTACTGTGATTATTTGTTAATACAAAAGGTAATTATAGTTTAAGCCGGTAATAGTCTAATTTATTATCCAAAATTGAAGGCATTAAATCATCATTATCTAGATTCACCAATTTACCCTAGATGTCAAAAAGAAGAAGAAATCTGGATAAAGTTTGGAAAATAGATACACCATAGAAGAGTCATAAAAGATATCATTGTAAATACAATGATAGAAATTGAAGCATCATTAGAAAGGAAAAGAGAAAAAAATGAGATTGATGAACGTTCAATTTGCTCAAATGTTAAAAGATCGGTTAAAAATAATGATACCGACAAGAAAACAAGAGTTTATAAGAGGGCTGATTTTATTAAAAGCAACTTGAATAAATGTAATATTGTAAATGTAATAGAAATTTTAATTTTTTCTTGATTTATCCTTTCATAGACCGCAAAACGGTTGTAGATAACTTTTGTTTATTAGAAACATAGCAGATCCCTGTCTTCGATTAGTCAGTCATAGTATTTTTTGGTGTTTTAGGTTTGTAATAGCTGTTTCCTTTGAACTGTTTACTGTTTTAACTTCCTTTGTTATGGTTGCAGTCATTATCGTTCTAGTTCGTTTTCCTTTGACAACCTATTATGGCAAGCCATTTATGGTGACATTTTTTAACTATTTATAATATGCTTGCTTGTAACTGCGCTAGAGCACCGTTGGTTTTCTTTTCTTCCAAAACTTTTAGTAAACGTAAATATGAAAAACAGAATCTAATTTTGTTTTTTTAAAAAAAATTCTTACCTAACAGAAAACATATTTAAGTTTGGGCTAGTTAGATTGACGAAAGTGAGCAGTATTAATCTTTTTATTCTATAAGTATTCTAAAAGTCAAGGACTCGATAATTAAAAAATATCAATATAAATTCACTGTGATGTCGCAAGATTCAATTTTAACAGGGACGTGAAGATTTTTTTTTTTTGAATGAAGTACAGTATGATAGATATAATCATGAACCTTGATCCGTACATAATAAATTGTATGTTAATCGACGAATAAGGCCACTTGCCTTGGGAAATACTTTACGATTAATTGTATGTACAATAGCGTCTAAATTATTTTTCTCACATTTATCGAGCGGTTTTTAAAATATTTCTTTATTTGAAATCAAATAAATTTTTTATTTTATAGTCAATTCATACTGTGTTATATGCTATACCCGACGGGCTCTGTTGGCAAAATTAGTAATTAAAGTCCTAGTTTTTAATTAAAACTAATTACAAAGAAGTGAAGGTAAATGAATAAAATACATTCGGATCCAACTAGACGTTAAAGTACAAATAAATCAACCACAAATTTAATAATATTAGCTACTTAATACGGGTGTCCTAGATTACATTAATCAGCTAATTCTAGTGGAATACATAAAACATCATTTTTATATTTTGATTAGACTCAAAAGATTCCATGGATTTGCCGCATCATATCACGTGAATTTCCTTACACTTTTTGTAGTAATAAATACAGTGACACCTCTATAAGTGCACGCACTATATATATTCTCTTTAAGTGCACTGTTGGCGTGGTCCCAACTTATAAGAGCTCTTAATATTTTACTCTCTATCTATAAATGCACACCCTCTCTAAGTGCACATTCTACCATTTTTTACTATGGTCCCCAAGGGGGTGCACTTAGAGGGGTGTTACTGTTGGTGGACCTGATTGAATCATTTCAATAAATAAAATATTCTATCAACATGAAATTTTTTTTCTATTTTCTCTTGTACATCTCTTGTAAAAAATTTTATCCGTAATTTCTGTAAAACTCCATACATGTACGTGGAATAAAAACACGGAATAAATTTTTTAGGGACATATACAGTACATTTTATTTTCATTGAAATAAAAAATAAGATTCTCGCATCATCATACATTTAAGAGTAGACCATGGCTACTTGATCAAGTTCGACCAAGGAGCAATTGCTTACACGAGAATGAAGTTCCCTTTTTTTGTAATCGTGGAATTTATAATTACAATTTATTAATGCATATGCTCCATTAATGGCATCATGAACTAATTATTTGAGTGTTGATTACAGAAGTGGAAAGAAGAATTGGAAGGTAGAAAAGTAAAATTGTTGTTCGCCGAAAACGTTTACCTGATGGGAAAAAGAACTCTTAATTTTCACGGAGTAGTAGCCGAAGAATTTACAGCAACTGATTATCTCCCGTGATACTTGCTCAAGGGACTTCAAAATTAAACATGTTATGTGATGCGATATTATGAAGAGACTTTTGATAAAAGTTTGCATTACTTGATAAGAAAATAAAATATTTTCTCTCCAAAGGACCACTTTCTAGTCAATCTTGAATCACATCAGATATGGTGGCGTGCTATGACGGTGTCAACAATTTGATGCTTCCTTGCTAATTCCTTTAGTGTAATAACCTAAGGAATTGACGGATGGCGGATGTTCCGGATGGCGAATATCCCCTTGTTAATTCCTTTAGTGTAATAGCCTAAGGAATTGACGGATTGTCCATTAAGTTCCGTCATTTCCGTAGTTCCGTGGAGGTCGGGCAACCAACTGATCGATTTAAACGTTAATTACGTTGACAGGTTAAAAAAAAAATACCAATGTGTTTAGAAAAAAAAGAAATATTTTATTTACTCTATAAAAGGTATATAAAAATGTATATATACAGAAATCTTATAACTACAAAGATAATATATCCATAGTAGTAGTACATACATCATCATAATAAGTACATGGAGTTGTATAATTGATGGTACCTTTTTTAATAACACCTTTTTGATGATAATATTCACATACTCTAATAATATAATGAGAATAAATATTATTATTAAAAACAAATTTTAAAGGTTTTCTTTTCATTTCTTTCCATAATTCAAAAAATTCTTGTAAATCTAAACTTGAAAAACTCCATCTACCAATTAAATGAATATTATTTAAATGAATAGAAGATTTTAAAGATAATAAAATCAAAATAGGTTTAGCTAAAACAATATCAATAGGAATAAAATTATTATTTGGAGTAAAAATAGATTTAAAATGAATAATAATTTTTCTAATTTTTGGACAAGAAATTAATAAATCTTCAAAATTTTTTAAATAAAATACAGAAATTAACCAAATAGGTAAAACTTCAATATTAGGACAAGTTGATTTAATAATATTAAAATAATAATCAATAGAAGAAGAAGGTATTGGAGAAGATTTTTGAATATGAATATAAAGAATTTTAAGGGAACCTTTAGTATTTTCTATTAATTTAGTAAAAATTGATAAATGTTCACCTTTAACATTTACTAAAGAAAGAATTTCAAGTTTTGGTAAAATAACATTAGATAAAATTTCAATACCTTCATCATGATATAAACTAATATGATAAAAAATTTTTAATTCAGTTAAATTAATAAAAGAAGAAATAATATTAGCAGATAAACAAATACAACTACAAAGTTCAAGAATTTTTAAAGAATTAGAAAGATAATCAATAGATTTTTTATTATTAAAAATAAATTTTTGTCCAGCGATGAACATAAAATTTATTTCTTTTAAATTTTTTTGTGAAATAAATAAATTTTCAATATCATTCATTGTATCTTCATATATATAAATTAAAAAAATTTCAATACGTTTTAAAGTATGAACATTTTTTGATAATTCAATAATCATTTCTTTAGGGTAAGAAATAAAAATTTTTAAAATAGAAAGTGATGATAAATGAATTTTTGATTCTGGATATTCAAAAATATTAAAATTTGGTATTTCAAGAGATTTAATTTTACATTGTTTAATGAATAATTCCCAAAATTCTTTGTTAAATATTTGTTCTAATTGTTCCCCATTATTATAATTTATTATTTCTTCAAAATTGTTTCTTATTAATTGATTAATAACACCAACAGGAATTATTTGAATATATGAAACATAATTGAACAAAGGTTTTTGTAATAATGAAGGATTTAAATAAATTTGAAATTGTTTTGAAAGTTTTTGTTTTGTTTCTAATGTTAAACATTTAATTATTGTTTTACCAAGAATTTTCCAATAAATTCTTTCTAATTCATTTGTTAATGAATTAAATGTTGGCCATGGATTTCTCCATAATATTGGTACAACAAATTGACAATATGTTCTGTTTGTAATTAAACACGAATATAATGTTCTTTTATCTTCCGAAAGTTGTTCCAAGATTTCTCTAATACAATCTTCTGGAAGTATCATTTTTTTTTTGAGTGAGAATTATGAAATTTGAATTATTTAAAGAATTTAATTGATTTAATGAAGAAGGGAAAAAATAATAGGTAAGAGATGTTTGGCGCACTCATTTAAGAGTACAATTTGACGTTGGATGGATTGGCATGATACCGAATTCATATGAGCTTGTAACGCGATTCTGCTGCTCCATAATTTTCCATATACAGGTCTGTATCACGTAA